ATGCAACGTGGCTGACTTTGAAGCTGGAGGAAGGGGCCACCAGCCAAGGAATACAGGCAGCCTCTAGAAGCTGGAAAAGGCCAGGAAACGGGTTCTCCCCTAGAGGCTGCAGGAAAGAAGGCAGCCCTGCCAATGCCTTGATTTGAGCTCTGTGAGATCTGTGTCCGGCATCGGACCTCCAGAACTGTAAGACACTAACTGTGTATTGTTTAAAGCCACCAAAGTTTGTGGTAATTTGTTACAGCAGAATTAGAAAACTACTAGACCCGTACTACCTCCCCACTGCCCATTTCAAATCAAAACACAACTGCAAGATAAGCCACGGTCATCACCGCCAATCACACATCTTAGAGTAAGTGCCTCCTTCACTGACCCTCCAGAACGGACTATGGGATGCTAAAAGTTCATTCACACCCATCTCGGCCCAATCTGTGCATTGGACATGCGGCTCCTGATTCCGAAATCAGTGTCTCTCTCCAGACCCCACTTCTGAGCTTCAGGCCAATGCTTCCAATAAGGATTTCCTAGAGGCACCTCAATCTCAATGTGCCCCGGACAGGAAGCATCATCTTTACCCTTGATCCTGCTTTTCTGGCTAGGTCTCTTTGCTCCTATTTGGAGCCTCCCATTTACCCAGGAAATCTCACCTTTTCAGGCACACCCCTTCTCCAGTCCTACACTCATCCCGTGTCATCTGTCCACTCTACCCATTCTACGTCCCTCCTTTTCTATTCCTGTTGTCCTGGCTCAAGACCTCAGGGCTGTAACCACGGCCTGGGAAACAGCAGCCCGACTCTAGTCTCTCCTCAAGCTCACACATCCCCTGCTGTCTTGGGAGTTATCTTGCCAAAACAGTCTGATCCCATTACACTTCTGCTCTAAAACCTTTTAATGCTCTCTCTTGCTTGTGGAATAATGCCCAAACTTCATGCTTTTACTGAACACCAAAATCCAACCCCTATCTCCCTCCCAGCCTTATCTCCCATCCCATCCCCAGATCCTGGCATGCTCCATGAGACAGCTATGCTGGTCTCCCGTGCCTGGATCAAGTCCTGCCTTCTCCTATCTCTGTGCCTTTGGCCTTGAATACCCTCTTCTGCCGTTTCTCTCTTCCTAAGTCCACAATGTCCTTCAATGGCAACAGTAACCACTAGTAAGCCACGTGTGTCTCTTCATGATCCCATTTGTAAGTGCATTATTTCACCGCATCTTCATAATCACCACATTTTACAAATGAGGAAACGGAGGCTTAGAGAGTGACCTGCTGTGCTGCTTTTAAAATACGTCCACACATGCTTTGATACTCTTTCCTTCAAAAGGAGGAGCTTAATTACTTTCCCTTTGAACATGGTACTTGAGCTGTACTTAGTGACTCTCTTCTGACTTATAGAATGTGCTGGAAGTGGAGGTGTTTGGCTTCTAAGACTGGGTCATAAAAGGCACTGCGGCTTCCTCTGCTACTCAAGTCTCTCATTCTGAAGGAGCATAGTCACCACATAATGAGGACACTCAAGCAGCCCATGGGAAGGCCCGTGTGAAGAAAACCTGAGGCCTTCAGCCAATAGCCACCACCATGTGTAGGTGCCATCTCGAAAGCGGCTCCTCTGAGCTGAGCCAAGCCTTCAGATGACTGCAGGCCCTGCAACATCTTGACTACAACCTATGAGACTCTGAACCAGAACTACCCAGCTACCCTGCACCTGAATTCCTAAGCCACGGGAACTGTGAGGTATTAAAGATTTGTTATTTTAAGCCACTAAGTTTTAGGGTACTGCGTTACACAGTAATAGAGAACTAAAACCCTGACCCAGGGTCATGCAACTAGTAAGTGGTAGAGACCTGAATACTGGTTTGTTAAGAGTATGAGCGTTGTCCCTGCCGCTCATACTCAACCCCACCCAATACTGCCTGCAGTACTAGTCTATATCTTTCTTCCTTCAGAAAACCTTGACAGAGTCCCTCCCTCAAAATTCATCTTCCTCCAACCTGTACCTTTAAGCCCTACTCAAAATGCCCAGGCAGCGTGCTCCTGCCCGCAGCAATCACCATATTTTCCTTAGACCTACCTCACTTCATTTTCAGCTTCCCAGCTTTAGCACCCAGATCCTAGTGTTGTTGCAAAGATTAAATGAGATAATATGTGTAAAAGCACTTAGCAGAGTAATGGTTCAATCATATTATTTATTACCTCCTCAAGGCAGCACTTCGTCTGCCCTGTGGGTGAGGTTTCAACTCTGGCTGTACATTAGAATCACCTAGGAAGCTGTTAAAAAAACAAAAATCAATGCCTGGGCTCCACCCTGAATTAATAGGTCTGATTTAAGAGGTCTTAGGTGAAGCCAGGCAACAAAAGCTCCTCGGATGATTTCAGCGTGCAGCCAGGGTAGAAAACCACCAGAAAAACAACCAGGGGGGATCTTGCTGTCCTTGTCTCTCTACCCCCAACCCCCTGACATTTGCGAGTGTCTGGGGACATTCTTGATAGTGATGACTGTACGGGTGCAGCTGGCATGTGGTGGGTGGAGGCTAGAGATGCTGCGAAACATCCTACACTGCACAGGCCAGCCCCACACAGAGAATTATCTGGTGCTAAATGTCAACAGCACCAAGGTTGGAAAAGCCTGGATTAGATATTGTTTCCTGGCTCCTGCCCTCATTCTCCTTAAGAACGTTGGTTTCTGACGTTCAGATTGGTTGCCTCTCTGACACTGCCTGTTCAAACGGACCCTTGAGAAGGATATAGCACCTGAGTTCTTGCCTCTCAAAACCAAATCTAGGCACTGACCAGGTTGGTGCTGCCCCGACTGGGTGGGCTCTGGGCCCACCATGGGGGCCGGTGGATGGCCTTGTGCTTCCCCATTTCCCTCTAGTGCTTTGCTAACATCTGTATCACAACGCTCACTACAGAAACTTCAGCTGGTTGTAAGCACACCTCTCTTACCTCAAGGGCTGGAGCCATATTTTATTCATCTCTATTTTCTCCCCAGCATCAAAGCTCTGTGCATTGCATTTGGTAGGTGTTCAATAAATATTTATTGCACCGAATTAGATTAATGTCATTTTAAGTTTTATCATGCTTCTGGGCATCTCTTTGAAAGGTAATGGAAATAGAGAATACAAATGCCAGTTGAGGTCAGAGCTCTTGCTTTTCTGTTCTTGTGGAGCCCAGTTGAAATGACCGCCATCGCTACTTTGTGGCATATTTATATGAGCTGCCAGAGGAAGTTAGCAAGCATTTTAAATTAAGATATTTGTACAATAAATGACTAAGGATTTGAGAGGACTCTTATCTAGAGAAGTTCTCATATCTTTAAGATTCTTTTTCATTGGTTACTATAAGTGGGAAAATGTATCATTTTCAAGGCAAAGCAACAACTTGGAGAATGATACTGAAAAAATGTCTTAGAAAAATATAGGTAAATCTTTCATTTATTAATCATTTATAGTCAATAATTATGGGCCTTCCATTTTCATAGTGGACAAATTAGGCACAGGTTTAGAAGCTAAATAAGAAAAAGGTTTTCCAATATAATTCTCCTTTCAGTATGCAACCTCACATTTTTAAAAACTGGTAATATCTAGGGTGTTTTTAATTCTCAAAATTGAGAAAGTCAGCCAAGAGTCTATTCACCTTGGTATTTTCAAGAAGGACAGATTTAAGCAAAAAATGTGACCTTTGAGGGTTAAGCATCTAATTTAATGTCTTCCACTCTGTTTAATATGGGGTTTTACAAACCTTACTGAATTTCCTAGTACCTCAGTTTCCTGACATTATTTTTGCAAAGGGCTAGCGTGAAAACATTTTTGAAGCAACAGGTTAAATATATGTCATTTTCTCTAAATCGAGCTATCTTTCTTCCACCTATGTCTTAAAACAGAGGACCCCTGCTTAAATGTCATCCTCCAAGTCAGATCTCTCCTGCCCACCATATATAAATTAAGCCCCCTCAATACTCTGTATTCCTCCCTCCCGGCTTTATTTTTCCCTACAGTACTGACTTGTTTGTTTATTGTCTGTCATCCCCACTAGAACATAAGCTCCATCAAGGCAGTGATTTTTGGCTACTTTGTTCACTGCTTTACCTCCAGCACCTAAAATGATGTTTGGCACATAGCAGTACTTAACAAAAATTTATTTCATGAAAGAATAAATTATGCAAATCTAGAAATAAAATATACTATAATGCCATCAATGGCATAAATTAGATGTGATTCAATCAACATGGCTGGGTCTCAAAAGTATGTATTTGAGTTAAATAAAAGCAAGTTGCAGAATAACGCATACATTTCCTCATCTGCAACACAGGGCTGATAATAGCATTGTTATCAGGATCAAGTTAGTTCATTAGTGTTAAATGCTGAGAACAATGATACAAGCACTCGGTAAATGCTAGTTGCCATCATCATTAGCATTGCTATATTATTGATGAAAAATAGCTCATATAATATAATACTACTAATTTTACATGATATAATCTAATTGTATATAATAAGTAATTTTAAGAGCTCTGGAAGTATGCACTATAGACAAAACTGATTACTTCTGTGAGGAGAGAAGGCTCAGGTTAAAATGATGGTCAAAGAGAGTTTTACCTTTATCTGTCATGTTCTAATACTTTAAATGTGGAACTGATGCATATAACCAAAAATTAATATTTAGAAAAGTTTAGTTGCATTTCCTGAGACATAATGACCTTCAGGGGGAGAGAGAGAGAGAAAAACAGAGAAAGAGAGGGCAAGGAAGAGAGAATGGAGAGATGAATTATTTAGGATAAGAATTTGTTACAGTTTTCTATTTTACTTCTGAAGTGCTTCTTGAATAATCACCACATAGATAGGATGCCCTCAGCCTAGACTGAAAATAACCAGAGACAAGAGACACAAATATAACTGACTTGGGGTCCTGGGTGGATTACATGAGTTAGTTTTCTTAGATTGGAGAAAACTATCATTAACACAATGTTAAAATTAGGAATTTGAAAACTTATGTCGTTACTTACTGAAGCTGCAGCCACTGCTCCACAAATGGAATGGAAAAGAATTCTGTGAATGGCTCCTCTGTCCTCTTCGGATTATGACTGGTCACGATGCCATAGGTTTGATTGACAAGAAAACAATAAGTAAGAATTCAAGTCAAGTGTTGTTATCGGCTTGCAAATTAACACTACTGAATCCTTAGGGTCATTGAATATTCAAAGACATAAAAAACTTACTTGTATAACCACTCGGTCAGAAAATCACAGGCAACGAATTTGGTTTTCTTCCTCTAAAGAGAGAAGACAGAATTGAATTATATTCTTTGCCTACATGTTTGAGTAGGACAAAGGAAGAGAAGTTAATTGATTGCTTGTGCTGGATGAAAATCGCGTGTCCTTTATGAGGTTTATAAGCACATCAACAAACAGTAACACAGGCCATGCAAAGAATTCTGAAGACATTTCTCCAGCTATCTTTGGATAAGCCTATTTGCTGATAGCAGGGACTAATAAAAGACTGCACATAGTAGGGGGCTTATTACCTGCTTTTGGAATTATCTCAGAAGGATTTGATTTAAATCTAGGCTTTGATTCTGAGTAATTGTATTTATTGCTTGTCCCCAGTCCTCTGAAATCCTCAGAATAGCAGTAGCGTGTGCCCCTCTGTCATAGTACCTCCAATGGAACTGTAAGATAACTGCCAGCCCCTGTGTCTATCTCCCCTCCTTAGCTATAAACTCTCTGAGGACACGGCATATGTCTCCTTTTTCCTTATATTCTCAGGGCTTAACTGAGAGCCGTGCACAGAGTAGGTGATCAATGGGTGGTGAGTAAATGAAAGAATGAGTCCACCATTCAACTCGCAAGCATCAAAGCAAGAAAGAATTTATGTACAAGAATTCTGACATTTAAAAGGAGGAATTGCTAATACAATTCTGGACAATTTCTCTTCACTGTCTTCCCATTTTATATATATATATATATATAAGATTGGCACTGAGCTAACATCTGTTGCCAATCTTCCTCTTTTTTCTTCCCCCGACAAAGCCCCAGTGCATGGTTGTACATCCTAGTTGTAAGTCCTTCTAGTTCTTCTCTGTGGGATGCCGCCACAGCATGGCTTGATGAGTGGTGTGTAGGTCCGTGTCCAGGATCCGAACCAGTGAACCCCAGGCCGTTGAAGGGGAGCATGTGAACTTAACCACTCGGCCATGGGGCCAGCCCCCTCTTCCCGTAATATTTTATTATGAAATTTTTTCCTTCTTTTTTACCCTTCATTTTGAAATAGCCAACTCAGCTTTATAACCTGAAATAAGGTTGAAAAGATTGTTATGAAATTGATTCTCACCAAAAAGGAAAGTGCTACTTAAGATTTTTCACTGAAAGCTTTATTATAGCTGTTAGTAAATAAAATATGGCAGTGCCTGAGTTGCTGGAGATGGTTTGCAGCCTTTTACCTCATTGCTGATAGCCTTATATTAAAAAATTGAAACACTGCTGGCCAGGGCGATGAAATGTAGTAGACCATGTAATGGGGTCTTTTAACTCTGCATTGCAAGAGCAGAGTTCCCTTCAAAAGGCCATCTTTAACCAAAATAAGCAAATACTTGTACAACAATGCAAATATGTATCTAGCATGAATTGCCATATAATAATTTCAACAGTCCAACAATTGTAGGCCGGCAGTGTCTCTCTCTCGCCCTACAAAAGATGCATTGTTCCTTTGGCATTCACAGTATCGTTTGGTGATAAAGATTCCTTCTCTGAGGGAATGCAGCTTGACTTACTCTATTAAATTGACTTTTAAAATAGCCAAATGGTTTGATGTATGAAGGTCACGCAGACAGATTTAATCAGTTTTGACGCAAAGAAATCAAATGGAAGAAATGGTGTTTTCCTTCTCTCCTGGGCAAGCGTGGCCATGCCGTGCACACTCAGACCCACAGAACAGTGCGGACATTGTTCAGCTGTTGTTTAGTTTAAAAATTATCTGCTGGGGAGCCGAAAGGGAGAAGGGAAAGCAAATGGAAAGTTGTGGTGAGTGAAGAGATAAGAGAGGAAGCAATAGAGAGAACAGTTACAGCGCGAGATTAAGAAAGTGTGGGCACCCAGGGTTTTTGTAATGTGGACAAATACACTGAGGTCATGATTGTTAAAGGGTGAAAAAGCGCGATTTTGGGCAAGCAGAGGAAATGGTTAAGGCAACCTCAAACAAGGTTAAAAAGCAAAATATTTTTTAAAAGAAATCCAGAATTGAAAGGAAAAAGACCAAGTGTCGAGGGATAAGACATCACCATGTCCTCATGAGTCTGCAACTTTGAAAGGCATCCAAAAAAACAAGATACAGATAAAGGGAAGAACTGATGGACTGGCGGGCAGATATGCAATGAAGCAAGTAACGCAAAACGGTAACTGGAGAATCTGGGTGGTAAACGTGTGGGTGTTCACGCTGAAATTCTTTCAATTCTTCTAGATGTTGGGAAAATTTCTATCATAAAATTGGGGGATGGAGGGTAGGGGAAGAGGACATCATCATAAAAGACCCAAACCTCAAAGAGAGAAAAGGTGGAAATCGAGGTTCCATCCAGACAGTATTTTGTGCCAGTTTTTACGTTGAGTACATGTATGGGAGACAGACTGAGGCCTGAAGACTGGGAGGGGAAACAAGCAGCCCTGGAGAGCCACTGAACCTGCGTCAGGTGCCCACGGTGACCCCACCCCCGCAAGGTCAAAGCACGTGCTGTGAGGTCGGTGACCTGAGTGTGGCTATGGCATTGTGTTGGTCGAGACTCCTTGGGTTTGCAAGAAATAGAAATATGCTCAGGTTACCTTGGTTTCTGGGGTCTTTTTTCAAGTCAGTTTAGGCTAGATTTTGCTGTAACAAACAAGCCCCGAATCCAAGAAGCTTCTATCATCAATGGTCTACTTCTCACTCGTGTTACATGAGCATTTCAGTCAGCTGTGGCTCCCTGCTCCATGCTGTCTTGACTCTGGGCCTCAGCTGACAGAGCGGCCTCTCTCTGAAAGAGTGCTGGGTATCATACAAATGAAAAGAATATGGTGAACCACGCTCTGCCCCTTAAAGCGTGTGTTTGGAAATGACACCTATGATGTCACACAGTCAAGCCTCCCTTAGGGGAGGCCAAAGATAGTTTTGAACTATAACTTACTCTAGCACAGGGGGCTACTGTAAAGGTACGAGGAATGTAAGGAAAAAGAGAATTCCTCTGACTGGGGGCAGAGCCAGGGCTCAGGAAGAAGGGGGCTGCAGTCTAAAGATGATCAGAGCACAGGACAGGCTAGCCATAGTCGTCGCCAGGAGCTCTGTGACCCAACCGGTTCTAGTTGTCTGTGAGACTCAGCTCATGCGCTGTGGCTTCTTTCTAACCTTGCTGCTGCTTTTTCTGCTGCTCTCTCCTAACTGATTCTTTCTCCTCTCTCTGTTCCGAAGACTGCTAACTCATGGCTTTTCAAGCTTCCTCCTCCTCTCTGGTGTCTCTTCCCTTCTACCCACAATGCATTCTGCCTCTTCTGTCTGTCATCTGACATCCATACTCCGCAGACAGGAGACTCTGATTGGGCTGGTTAGAAACTACCCAGGATAGGCCATCCCTGCTGGGCAGTGCAATTGTAGCAGATCATTTCATAGCCACTTGCCATCCCAGAGTGGCTGCCCACAGGGCGTGATACTTATTCCTGGTTCAGTCACTTGTGGCCAGGGTGATGGGGATGTGGACATAGCAGTGACAAAGGTCTGCAGTTAAGGCTGTGCACATGGCACGCATTAGAATGTCATAGCCTCCTCTCCCACATAGATATTTGCCACAATAAACTTCCAGATACCCAAGACCCCCCAGACATGACAAAACTAATCAATAATTATGATCCTAGAAATGAGTACACATTTGGACTATAACCAGATGCCAAAATTCTTATCACGGCAAACTTCAAATGGGGGTTCATTTTTTTCCCACTGCATTAGAATTTCATTAGAGAAAAATAATACTTCTCAAAAAAAGTTAAAAATATGCACTCATAACACAAAATATTGACTTGACTAAGACTTCCCGCTCAGGTCACACGGTTATTTCTAAAAGCGTTCCTGATAAAACGAGTAATGCTAAAACTATTCTACCACACCTTTCCTGCGAGTATCTATTTTTTCCACTCCTTAGAATTTGTTTTCAAACAAAAGCTGACGGTGTTTCTAATTCTCCTTATTGGTCAAGGCCAGGAAATGGAGTTTCTTCTCTCACTGACCAGAGCCCTTGCACTTTTTAAAAGATATTCAGATATTTGATTTTTTAAAAAAACTATAACAAATGACTATTAGATGGGCAAGGAATATAAAAAGGAAAAAAGTTTTGTTTTACTGAATATTCATAGTAGCAAATTTTAATGTCATGAGATCATCAAAGGACTTATCAGGAGTTAGAAATAGTTTCCTGACACCAACTATTGTTTACAACACTCTTCGCTGTAATGGAATTTGATGAGCAACCAAAAGCCGAAGGGGAAAATGTTATGCATGGGACAGGATAGGAAAAGAAGAGGGACGTCTTATCGCCTCTATCCAGACGCTGCATTTAATCCATATTTAAAGCTGAGATAAGATTTATTTTCAGCCATCATTTTACTCATGCATAAAACTCCTGATTTCTTTCCAAATTAAGCAAGGTGCACTGTTCCAGTTTGGCCCTGTTCAGTAAACACTTACTGACTGAGGACCTACTATGTGCTAAACACTAGGGATAAAGATATGAGTGAGACGTGGCCCCACTGTGGTTATTAACTCACTGTCCAGCAACCGCCCCAGAGCTGGGTAGCAGCTGTGATGAGCGTAGAGGATTGACCCCATCACCAGCTCGAGAAGGCCGTCCAGATTATCCCACTTCACCTGCCCCCTGGACCCAAACCAATCTGGTCTCCATCTATCCTGGCCAAAGGGACTCCCTGAATCTCAGAAATGGCCGCGGAATCAATTTCAGAGGGATAAGATGTGAGAGAAGATGTGCGGGCGGTTCTGGGAAATAACTTCCTCTGCTTTTCTGAAAGAACTTGGTCATTCTCTCCTTCTGGTTGATATAGTAGGTGGAGGCACAGCCTAGCTCAGTGGCTGCCTCTGTCTTGCCACTGTGAGGGGAGCCAGCGTAAGGATGAAGCTGACCCTGAAGGGCCAAGCAGAGAGACAGAAGAGAACCAAGTCCTCGACTATATCACTGAGCCCCGGAATCAAACAAATCCCGAAGCCTTCCTTCTCTACCTCAGAACCCTCTAGTTTCCTGAGCCA